GTGCTGGGCGGGAACAGTGCGAGGGGGCTGTGAGGGGGGTGAGGCAGGTGCCTCGGGAAATGTGAGTAAATGCACTGAAATCCCGGGGAGAGCTCAGGGGAAGGTCCTGGGGTTGTCTCGTGGCTTTTGTGTAAGGGGGTGGCTGGGTGAATCATTTCTGAAGGTGTTATTCTCTGTGGGATGTTTTGTTTAACCTTTTCCTGATGCTGGGATCAAACAGAGCTTCGGTCTCACCTCTGGGGTGATCGCGGACTTGTGTTCCCCGTATCTAAAAGAATTGATTAAAACGTTGTATAAATGTCCTGACTGATCATTCTTTCTTAGGTAGAGCTCTTCAGTTCAGGAAACAGAACTCTCAGGGCTGGCCAAAGCAGGAAATAAAAGCTTTTGCTGCTTTTTCTTCCAAGTTAAAGACCGTTAACCATAAAGTAGCCTTTTCTAATAAATGTAAAAATGTATATGATTGGAAAGACTGAGCTTCTCCACTGTAGATTTTTATGTAAGAGGGCTGATATCCTTGTGTGTGACTGTTGTGAATGTTCTCAGGTGGTTTCGATAAGCTGACTTGTGTCACCCTTCACATGAGAGCACAAGGTCTAAGGAATTTGTTTGCTGGACTGTGGGGAAAAAATTGACTTAAGTATAATGACTAATTAGAAAATATGTTCCCCAGTGGAAACACCAAAAGAACTTTGTTTTTGAGAAAAACCAAGTTGCATTTACACGTGTAATTTTCTAATTATTTTACACGTAAACTTTCTTGGTACAGTTTTTTTCTGAGTTTGTTAATTATTTTAATTGGAGACTGCATGTTTCAATAAGAATAGAATCCTAGGATGGTTTGGGTGGGAAGGGACCGTTAAAGGCCATCTAGTCCCTGCCAGGAGGACATCTTCAACTAGCCAAGGTTGACCTTGAATGTTTCAGGGGACGGGGCATCGGGGACATCTTCAACTAGCCAAGGTTGCTTAGAGCCCTGTCCAGCCTGACCTTGAATGTTTCAGGGGACGGGGCATCTGCCACCTCCCTGGTCAGCCTGTGCCAGTGTGTTAATATAGCTTCTCAAAGTAATGAATTCTAAAATCAAATGACTTAAAAAACAAATCCTAGTTGCTGAGAGCCACTTTTGCAGAGTTGTGTGCCTTTATTCATCCCCTTCAGCTGCAGTTATAATTGTGAAGCCATGTTACACACATGCATTTTTTTTGTTACAGTTCTGATGCTCTTATTCATCCTAAAAAAAATGTTGGGAGTCGTTAATTGGTTTTACTACAGCTGTAAAAGCACGTGCATTTCAGGACTTAAAGTAACTTTTCGGTGGTACTCACCGACAGGACAGGAAGCAGTGAGTGCAAATTCAAACACAAGAAATTCCTTTTTTTTCTTTTTTTTTTTCTTTTTTATTTTTTTTTATATTTTTTTTTTCTTTTCTCCTGTGAGGGTGGCCAAACACTGGAACAAAGTGCTCAGGGCGGCTGTGGGTCTGTAAAGACATGCAGACCCAGAGTGGACATGGTCTGTGGGGCGTGAAGTAAATGATCTGAAGAGGTCCTTCCAGTTTTTGTGATGCTGTGAACTAAACTGAGAAAGGACAAACTTGATCATTCTGTGCTTATGTAGATTGTATTTTTAAAAGTATCAATTGCGGAAATGCTCAAAGAGCTTTTCTTTTTCACTTATTTTTAACTCTTCTTAACTTTTAGTAAACTTTAATTAACCATCTTGTTGGTGCTTATCAGGAAAAAATATATATGTTAATGATGGGTTTCGTAGCTTTGATTAAGAATACAATCCCTTCTGCAGGCTGTATATTTTTTTCCATTTGTTGGAGAAGTTGAACCTCTTCATTATTTTCTGTGTTATCAGCACCTATGGGCACACAGCAGGGGTTTGGGTGGGAACTTTCAGAAATGATGAACACGTGCTCCAGGCACAGAATTAGCCTTGGTAAAAGGGTTTAGTAATTGATCTTTTTCAAATCATAACGTATCCAAGTGAAGTATCGAAAGAAATAACACTTTTCTCCAGTGGATGGTGCTGCTTGCCTGGAGTTAAGTTACTGCCTGTGGCGTAATTTCGTGAGCAGCCCAGAAGATTGGCTTTAACTTCTGAGCTGAATTTTTTAGCTGAAGATAGCATGTTGTTTCCTTTCTTGCTCTTAAGAGACATCAGTGAACAAACCTTTCTCCAAAATTATTGACTAATTTTTTGTTTGGAGAGGGGAGATTATTTTCTGGCTGTTCTATGTAGCATGAAGTTGTTCCTGGCTTTCTTAAATACTTTGCTAAAGGTGTAAACAAGTTTCTTTATTTTTACCCTATTTGAAAATAAGAGTGTGTCAGCCTGGCAGAAATGTGAGGGTTAATCCCATGGTGGTAGTTAAGAGGTTTGAAATATTTGGATTGCAAGTATTGGGAAAGGGAAGGTCTCTTAAAATTTCAAGGCAGAGAAATTTCTGTATTAGGTGCCCTTGTGTTTTGTCACCAGGGTCCTCCTGGGAGTAAAACATTTTAGGGCTTTCTACAGAGGGATATTCAGGAAGATTAATAGAAATTAACTTTTAAAGTGTATTAGTTGAACTACATCAAACAACTCAATTTGGACGTTAATTTAAATTCATGCATTCAGTTGACATGGATTACCTCCAGTGTGTGGACAAATCCTTAGATACATATGGTGGCTTTACGGCTGTGAGAATTGCGTTGAATTTAATCTCTTGGGATTTGCAAAGTCACCACCTGGGGAACTACAGAGAGCATAACAGAACGTGGGCATACTTAAAATGTTGTTATAATTAGATTTTTAAAAAGTCATAGGAAAGTTTTTGGTGACTAAGGGAAAGTTGTTGTTAATTGAGAGATTTTAAACAAAGGGACAAATTAAGAAATATTATTGAAAGGGAGGGCTGCTGTTGGCTGGGCAGCATAACTTCTATGAAATTGTTGCTTTTTATTGTCCTTTCTGTTTCTTGTTTCACTGACAGCTAAGGATGAAAGCACCAGCCAAGGTGTTCCCTCTTTTTATAGGACTTACCTTTTGCTACCGGCTTGATAGCTTTTTAGCTCATTCCCTCCACAAACCGCTGGAAACTTGGCTCCTTAGAGATCATTTGCATCTTGGGAGAGGGAAGATGACAAAGCATATTTATTGTCCCAGATTCCTATCCCCTTGTCTCAAACACCACCATAAATGAGTGCAGTGGGCCATGTTGGGAACGAACCCTTGGGCTCGTTTAAAATCCCAATCCCCAGCAGCACTTCACCCCCTTTCTTTAGCAGCACAGGCGGGGCTCGCAGATGCTTCTCTGGGGGCTGCCTGTTGGAAAGAAGTTGGTGGTTTCCTGTAGAGAAGTGAACCAGGCAAGTGCTGTGTCAGTTCCTCTCGCAGCACTCAGTCATTTAACCTACTGTAAAATCCTTTTTATGGATTGTTTGGGGCTTTGTGAAATTCTTTATCAGACTGTTAAGGTGCCATGCAGCACCTGTTTGGAGCTTCAGAGCTTCGGACACGTGGTTAAAAAAAGCCACCAGCACCCATTCTGACAGTATTAGTTCTTTAAGAACGAAACAAAACTGGGGGGGAAAAAAAAAATTAGTCAAACATCCTTGTAATATCCCGTCCCTCTGGCCCGAATCCCAAGTGCTGCATTTTA